GGGGGGGGAGAGGGGAGAGAATCGGCCAGCGGGGAGCAGGACAGTTCAGGGCACATGCAGATCCTGAATAAAAATGGAAAAGCAGGGCCTTTTAAATATCCCCGCTGCTGACAGTGAGGTTTACAGGCACTGCAATGTGTCAGAATGGAGAGAACCTGGTGCAGTCACCATCTGGAATGAGAATATGGATAAAAAAATTCCAAAGATGGCGTCGGCTTTCTGAAAATAAATGAGCCTCTTTTCAATACACGATGTGGTGGTGCAGGGTTTTATTGGATTACAGTCCATTTTCCCAATCCATATTCCCTTAACTTGCTGGTAAGAATGTTGTGGGTGACTGTACCAAAAGCTCTGCTAAAGCTGGCCCTGGGGGCTTTGGGAGGACCAAAAGCAATGTATTTGCATATTTGTAATTTGCGTAATGAATATTCAAATAAATGTTACCGGTTCTCTGAAAGCTCGTGAATGGATTTACTGGTCCCCGTGTCAAAAAGTTTGGGAACCCCTGCTCTATCAGATAGAGGAAGCAAAAGGGCAGGAGGGGTACTTCAAAACAGCAGCACCACACAATTGTGCAGCACTGCTGCTTTGAAACCCCAAGGCGACTTTTCAAAGGGGCAGCCGTGGAGCCCCGGGGTCAGCTGGGGACTCCCCAGCTGATCCTAGGCTCCACGCAGCATTTCCCCAGCTGACCCCAGGTTCCACATGGTACTTCCCCGGAACCCGGGGTCAGCTGGGGAGTCTCCCGCTGATCCTGGGTTCCGCGTTGTGCTGCCCCTTTGAAGCGCTGCCGCAGCAGCAGTTCAAAGGGACAGTGCAGCATTAACGCTTGCGATTAACGCATTAAAAATGTAATGTGTTAATCCTTGACTGCGTTAATCGCAGGCATTAATGCATGTCAATTGACAGCCCTAGTTTATAGCTCATATTTTTAAAAAGAAATAGGTTGAATTGCAGAATTTTGTGTTATTTTAGCTTAAGTTGCTGGTGGAAAAGGGGCTCTGTAAATGAAAGAAAGCATAGTCAAAATCTTTAATGAATCAAATTGTACCACGGAATCTCTATGGGTAGAAAGTCCATGCTTACATAATAAGAGTATAGCAACAGGAATAAACTACAGATCACCTGACCAAGACAGTAACATGACTGTGAAATGCTTGGGGAGCTAGTTTAAAGGAAACAAAATGAAGTATTTTTCCACACAAGTCTCAGTCCAGCTGTGGAACTCATTGCCAGGGGATGTTGTGAAGTCAAAAGCTGTAACTAGGTTAAAAGAAGAATTACATAACTATTGACGGATCTATCCTCCATTAACTTATTAGCCATGAGGGTCAGAGATGCAACGCCATGCTCTGAATGTCCCTAAGCTTCTGAGTACGAGACACTGGGACTGTATGGCAGGGGACAGGTCATTCAATAATTATGTTATTCTGTTTATTCCATCTGAAGCATATGCCATTGGCCACCGTCAGAAGACAGGATACTGGGTTACATGGATCAGTGGTCTGATCCAATATGGGCCTTCATGGATTGCTCCAAGAAGTGCATCCACGGACTTCTGCATGCAAAGGAGAAGGAGATGCAGCTTGAGCATTTATCTGGAGGTGAGCTCACCCAGGACAAGAGAGACCTGCTATGACTATCTCTGTGTGGAATCAGATCATTGTACAAAAGACTTTGTTTTGAATGTGTAATGAAATAAAGGGTTTAGAAATTAAGCTAACCAGTGAGGATCAAGCTGGAGCTTAGACAAAAACCCGCGCATGTCAGGATAGCTGGGATTCTATCTTACTGCTACGATGGTAAGAGGGAACTAAAGGAAGGTTGCAGCTGTTCCACCTTTCACACCTTCACCAGGGACACTACCTAGCAAAAGGTTCCAAGCTTGCACTGAGGAGGAACATGCACCTACTCCAGGGTCCATCCTGATGCATAATCAAATAAACTAAGCTACTTGCAAGCCGAAATGGGTGTGTATATTTGCACTTTGTTTTCCCCAGCTCAGAGAACGGCTGTTTAATTCCTGAAGAACTGAAATGTTTTGGGTCATGCACACTGAAATATTTCATATGTACAGAACAAAAGATGACTTGCATTATTTTTTAAATTGGGTAGCTGTCCTTCCAGGATCACATTTTACATATTTTTTTCTGGATTTCACAAAATGAAGGAGAAGATGCAGTCCTTACCTCCCCTTTCTTTGCCCATTTCTCAAGGAATGCAGAGCTCTTCAACCAGTGAGTGACCTAATCACTCTCTATTTATATAAAAAAACTTTTTCCTGTGGGATGACGGAGTGACATCACATCACTCTGCATCCACAGGAACAAGCTGCACTCATTCCCAGCCTGGGCGCTGCGGCCCTGGCATGGGGACCCTCCCCTTTCCTCCCCAGAGGCCGGGGAAGAGCCCTAAGCTGCTGCGCTGGCTTGGCTTTGGCCCTCCTCCGGTGGGTGGCTGGTGGGGGGCCAAGAGACCAAGGCTGCAGTGGGGGTGGGGAGGTGGCGAGAGGCCGGGGTTGGCTGTGGACAAGGGGTGGGGGCGAGAGGCCAGGGCTGGCTGCAGTCCTGGCCCTCCCCTCCCCAGCGGCTGGGGGTGGGGGGGCCCCAGCGGCTGGGGTTGGAGGGGCGAGAGCCCAAGGCTAGTACAGCCCCGGTCCTCCCCTCCTTGGCGACCACGGGGAGGCGAAGAGGTTAGTGAGCATAGTGAGCAGGGGTATAGCCCCCTAGTATCCCAAATTCTGTGCACTTTAGTGTCTAAGCTCAATTAGGGAGAAAACTTCTTACAATGTCTTTGGTTTATGTCCTTTTTAAAACCACACTGAGGGGCGAGAGCCCAAGGCTAGTACAGCCCCGGTCCTCCCCTCCTTGGCGACCACGGGGAGGCGAAGAGGTTAGTGAGCATAGTGAGCAGGGGTATAGCCCCCTAGTATCCCAAATTCTGTGCACTTTAGTGTCTAAGCTCAATTAGGGAGAAAACTTCTTACAATGTCTTTGGTTTATGTCCTTTTTAAAACCACACTTTCTATCCCATCTCACTGAAGGAATAATACAGACCCTTCTCAATTCACTGAGGTAAACTGTATGTATTGAACAATTTCCCACCTTGTTATTACTCTGTACATATTAAGATTTGAACACCAAAGCACAATTAATGCAAAACTTTAAAGTTATTGTTTTTACCTGTAAGAGCTGAAGCCACTGAAACTGTGAAATCGAGATAGCCAAAGACTACTATGCCTTTAAGAAACATACTATTTAATTTTTTTAAACCAGGTGTTTTAAACTGAAAGAAATAGGAGCACCTAACAGATTATACAATGGCTCCCTCTGCTGCCCACTCAGCCACCTAAAAAGCTGTGATGGGACGCATTCTTATTTAGTTGCTCTTTTGGGCAGAGGCATGACTCAGAGCATATATGGTATTTAAACATACTATAAGCAAAGGGTGAACACTGGAAAGATGTGATGACTTTACTTATTCCTGCACTTGAGGATAACACCCTCACAAATGACTCACATTTACCTTGAGGCTTTATTCATCACTGGAAAAAAAAAAGGATGGTAAATGCCAGAAAAGGGCCACATGCGAGGTTTGTTTGGTTTTTTTTCCTGAGGCAAAGGTAAAAAAATTACTGTCCTCATTTTCTACACTGTATTTATATCTTGCCTCACTCCAATCTCCATGCATTTGGCGATATTTATTTTTTTCCCATTTTAGCTTTCTGAAAACCACTGAGTCTGAATGGGCCCTAATGACAGATGTACAGGAGTGGTAACAAAATACAAATAGAAAGGAATTTCTTTTTTTAATCTCTAAATATGTGAGGCCTTACCATGCTCCAACATCGCCTCGGCTGTCTGTGGTGTAGTCACTCATACCATTCAGTAACATTGTATAGATCTGAACCACATTATCTTTGCAGACAAATTCATCCTGTGATCCTTCTCTCTTCACACCAACTGTCTGACAAACTCTGTAACAGAGACATACAAAAGAAATTCTAAAGAAAAAGGACAAAATTATGCCAGCCTTTGTTTTGTTCACACTCTACTATTTTGGACATACAAACTTCATGCCTTCTGATTTCATAACTTCTGATTCAACAGTGAAATAGTTGCATAAATGAAATATTTGCAGGGACTTCAAGTGACAAGGTCTCAAGGATAGTAAGGGCTTGTCTACACATATGGTGCTGCAGTGGTGCAAGTGTGCTGATGTAGTGTGTTAGTCAAGCCATTACTATGCCAATGGAAAAGCTTCTCTGAAAAAAGCAGTATCTATGTTGATAAGAGAAGCTTTCTTTCCAATATGATGCAGGCTACCCCAGTTGATAGGTCAGTATAACTTCAGTACTCAGGGCGGTGGATTTTTCATGCCCCTGAACAACATAGATATGCCTCTGTTACTTGGCAATGTGCCTAACACATGGGTTTTTATTTGTAGGATAAATGCAAAAAGCAGCACAATTATTTTACATCTCATCATCCTGACTATTTCCTGACCAAACAGGTAGAGCAGAGGAACAATGTGATGTCTGTATACACCATCACAAAGATGTCCAGTGTCTTTTATTTTATGTTAATTGTGAATTGGTATTTTTTTAAACTGCACTGAGTATCTAATTTATGCTGGGAAAAGATGTAATCAGTCAATTCGTCAACCTTGAAAATGTTCCTTGAAAGAAAAAAAATGAAAATGCGAAATACATGTATTATTTGGGGCTTTTTATGTTATTGAAAATAAAATGAAAAAACTCAGTTCTTGTCTTTAGTACAGGCAGTCCCCGGGTTACGTACAAGATAGGGACTGTAGGTTTGTTCTTAAGTTGAATCTGTATGTAAGTTGGAACTGGCGTCAGCCGCTCCTGAAACTGATCAGTTTCAACTGCAGCTGAATCTGGACGCCAGTTCTGACTTACATACAGATTCAACTTAAGAAACCCAGGCGTCCCCAAGTCAGCTGCTGCTGAAACTGATCAGCGGCTGATTCCAGGAAGCCTGGGGCAGAGCAACTCTGCCTCGGGCTTCCTGTAGTCAGCCGCTTGTCAGTTTCAACAGCGGCTGAATCTGGACGCCAGTTCCGACTTACATACAAATTCAACTTAAGAACAAACCTACAGTCCCTATCTTGTACGTAACCCGGGGACTGCCTGTACATGGTACTGTTCTTAGTTGTACTCCAGTTGCTGGGAATCTATTTCAGTTAAAAAAAAAATCACACCCCTAACTAAAATAGCTATACTGGTACAAAATCTATGTGTAGACCAGACCAAACACCTATGGGAATGCTAATTTAGGCATAGAATAAAGATCAGGGATGACATATTGGAGCAGGGGGAGGAGCATGAAAGATCACATGCCACCAAATTCCATGGATGAGAGGCCAGCCAGCAGCTGCTGGGAGAACTAGAGAGGGGTGGCCTTTCCCCCCCCCACCTTACTGGCAGCAACTGGGGGGAGTGAAGCAACTCGGCTTTCGGCAGGGACCGCCCAAGTCCTCCACGGCTTTGCTCCGTCTCCCTGGTCTGCTGACCTGGGAGACGCGGAGCAAAGCCGCAGAGCACGCGGGCAGCGGGACAGCCCAAGTGCGCCCGGGCTGTCCCGCTGCGGGCGTGCTCCAAGGTTTTGCTCTCCATCTCCCTGCAGACCAGGGAGACGGGGAGCAGCTTTTCTCGCCCCGGAGGACGCGCCCAAGTCCTCCACGGCTTTGCTCCGTCTCCCTGGTCTGCTGACCTGGGAGACGCGGAGCAAAGCCGCAGAGCACGCGGGCAGCGGGACAGCCCAAGTGCGCCCGGGCTGTCCCGCTGCGGGCGTGCTCCAAGGTTTTGCTCTCCATCTCCCTGCAGACCAGGGAGACGGGGAGCAGCTTTTCTCGCCCCGGAGGACGGGGGCGGCGGACCGCGGCGCATCTGGGCGTCCCGCCGCTCCCGTCCTCCAGGGCGAGAAAAGCCCTGTTCGTAACTGCGGATCCGACATAAGTCGGATCCACATAACTCGGGGACTGCCTGTAGTCCAGGTTAGTACCATTAACTTCCAGTTCATGCAAAGGGAGAGCTTTCCCCCATGCAACTGACACATTTGACTGATTAAAAAACAATGATGAAACCTCCACAGTGGTTCCACACAGCATTCATCAGTCTGATGAATAGGATGACAGGTGGCATCAAGAATGGATTTAAGTGAGATGAATAGCGGGGGTCCATATGACCCCATGAAGAATATATAAAAACCCCTCTAGGAGTTAATCCAATATTACCATGCTGTAGTGATTCAAAGTCAGATAAAAATAAAGCTGGCAAAACATACTTTGCGATTGCTTTTAAGCCATCTCTTCTTGATTCTGCAAAGCTCACATGTTTGTCAGAAATGCAGGTAACTTTTTTCAAACTTTGTAAAACCTGAAAAGAAACAAATACGTATTCACAATATGCTTGCGATGGATGCTCGATTTAAAAACACTGGAGAATGAAGTTAACCATTTATCCACAGAGCAAGCACTTCACAAGCCTTAGGTCGTACAAGCTTCTCTACAGAGAGCCCCCTGAATACACCTTCCCTTCCACATGGACATGCAACTTTTTAGGGCAAAGAGTAAGGCCCTTCATTTCCATTTCTTTTTAATTTCCTGGAGTTTACCAGCGGTTATTATAAAATTAAAATGTGCATGAAAATTAGTGCAAAAGATTAACTTCAGTTTTCCAGATAAATATTGGGGTTAATATTATGGAGCAGGGGACAACAAATAGAGATAAGTAAGGGTAGACGAAAAAAAGAGCTCAAAGCATGGGCCCGGTGCTTGAACCAAAGTAAGTAAGAGTTATACTATAAGCAATAGACAGGCCATATCAAAAGCAAATGTTTGCCTGCAAGTCCGTGTTTCTTGGCACTAGAACAGCTAGCATGACTAAAAGCACGTGAAGTATGTAAATATATTCCATCAGGACATGATAAAATAGTTTGAAACGACAAGAGTGAAAGCATAACAACAGGCAAGTGAATGCTTTGAAGGAAAGTACAAGGGGAGGTATCAAACATGTCATTAATGCGTAAGATGATACATACGGTATGTATCATAGATTGGAGTACCTCGACTTAATTCTTTGGCTGGCCTAAGGGGCAATAGTGAAATCCATACCATCAACTGAGCTGTGTCCATTGTTCCAGCTACAAATACGTAGGGGCTCGGAGGCCATTTGGCTACCGATATCCATTAATGTACTTCATTCAACAATAAACCTGACTTGGGTGCTTTTGTATCTTATTTGAGCCTGTGGTCTTTGGAGGCTATTATGCTAGCTACCTGCGCAGAGCTGGCACAGTATACTGAGGGAGCGTTCGAAAACACACGCAGCCGAACGTTTATCATCACTGACAGAACAGGAGACCTGTCAGGATGCCACACCAGTGAATCCTGAATTTACTGTATTGCTGTCCTGAATTACTACATTGGCGACCCTGACCGCCGATCTAGTAAGTAAGCAAGATGACCACGGTAAGAATCGCTAACATGGCAAAAAAACACAACTTAGGGAACCCGCTCAGCTCCTCCCCTGAAAATACCCACAGTGTGATAAAATATGAATCCATTTGATTGCCAGTAATGGGGGGTCCATTTGAGTTTAAATGGGAAAATATGGACTGGCATTTGTAAAGCAATGGTAAAATCTAAAGCTCTAAAGAACAGTAATTAAAGTAAAAAAAAAGCTAGAACTTTGCAATTAATGTCTATGGCAGTAAAATGGCTTAAACAGCATTCCACTATACTAGCTTCCCAAATAAATGAAAAAACTAAGAAATAAAGGAAGCAACACAGGCTGTTGAGCACTGGAAAGCTGTTCTGCTAACAGGGCAACAGGTTAAAAATATATATTGCCGCAGTCTAGCTGTTATGAAAAGCCTGAAATAAAAAGTTTTAAAAAAAATTAGCTGACTGAAGAAATAAAAATAAAAATTTACCCAGGAAAAGTAACCAGGAGGTGTGGGGGCTAGTTAACCTCATTCATTTTCTGAATATATGTTAAGCCAGGGGTGTCCAAACTTTTTTCAAAGAGGGCCAGATTTGAAGAAGTGAACATGCGTGAGGGCCGTCCCCGCACTCTCAGTCCCAAAGCGGAGGGCCCGCAGGGTAGGAGGCGGGCGGAGAGCGCAGGGCACGCCGGCCTCACGGCGGCCCGGGGGCAGGGCGAACCCGCAGCCGAGCGGGGGAGCGGGGCTGCGGACGT